TAATGCCATAACAGCAAAAGAAAAAAAAGAAATCACATTTTTGCATTTCCATTTATCACTGAGAGGCTTATAGAGGGCCCTGTGCCAGAGTCTTTTTTTCTTTTTTAAGAGATGAGCTAGAGGACATGCCTCCAGTTGCGAGATCAGCGTTGCTTTTCTCAGTACGTCCTGCACACTGACTGCCCAAGCCAGCTGGCACTCGCACAGAGGTGCTGAAAAGTGTGGGTAGGTGAGCTGTTTGTGGAAGGATCAACAGGGCCTTTATATTGTGTCAGAGCTTTCTGAAGGAGTCAATGAGCATGAGAACAAAGGAGATTCAGCTGATAGAGGCTACCCTAGGTTTTAAAAAACTATTTGGTGAAGTCCTGCCGTTAAGAGTCTCAATGAAGCTAAGCAACCATGAGATGAGAGGGAACGGTCTCCCATGCAGGCAAACATAGGGCCGAAGAGCAGAAAGAAATGGTTGGCTTTCTCAATGGAGAGAGATTGCTAGTGGAGACTTGCATGAAATCTGTGCTGTGCAGCATGTTTGAAAGTGAGTCTGGAAAAGGAAGTGAACGACAGTTTGCTGAAGATGTCGATTTGTTTAAAGCTTTTAAGACAAAGGCTGGTTTTGAAGGTGTGCATGAGAACCACACAATATTAAAAGGCTTGGCTGTAACAGATTAGATGAAAATCCATGTAGATACACAAAATAACAGTGTACAGGGTGGGAAGGGGAAACAGACTGAAATTTTGAAGTCTTTTATGGAAAATAAGAAAATACAGATGTTTGTTTTATGTTTCAGTTTTACTTCCTAAAGTACATCAACGTTATGATTTGGATGGGGATGCCAGTATGGCTAAAGTGAGTAATTATGATTTTAATTTGTATACCTGACTCAGATAATGATACTGAAATGAAAGCTACTTGATTTTCAGATTAATAATGTTAATGAAACTATTTTAATATGCTAATGAGGATTCTGATAGACAGAAACGCATTTGTTAACAAGGGCTCCAAAAGTATATTAAAGCCATACTTTGTATACAAAATATGTTCGTATATTTTTTTAAAAAAAGAACAAACTCAAAAACCAGCCTCCTAAATTCCAAGTGCTTTGTTACTGCATAATTCAGTGATGGGGGGGAAAGGAGCCTGCCACTTTGGAGTCCTGAAGTTAGCTAGAGGATTCATATCCCCTGTGATGGGGCAAAACTTAATGTAAGAAAAATAACTTTCGATAGAGAGGACTCCCTAGGACTCTGCAGGAGAGAGGAATTTCTGTTACCTCTCTTGCAAATTTTCAGGATCTGTGGGAGACAAGTAGAGGATGTTTCGTTCTTTTGGTCATTTTTCTAAAATTGCTGAATGGGTGCATTGCCATGCTTTGACTTTGTCACCACCATTTATACTATGCCTATAAAATACTGGCTGCTGAGGAGCCTTGTATTCAGGGATGGTAGTCCTGAGAGCGTATGTCTCTTTGAATACCAGAAGTCTTTAGAATTAATAAACACAAAATCATCAATTGATATTAATTACTTAAAATATTTTAAATTACAATTTCCGAAACCTTGTTCACAATTCTAAATAATGCAGCAAACTTGTAAGTGGAACGAGGTGAATGAAGAGAGTCCCCAGCCTTAGAATTTAAAAACGTGTCGTTTTTTGCAAGTTTCTATTAATATATGTATTCTTAAACTACTAAAGAAATGTACTTGTGATTTTCCAGAAATTAAAGTAAAACCTGAGAGTAAGTGGTGTCGTTTTTGTTTATAAGAGACTTATTTTCATCCCTAACAGATATTTCAGTGTAACTGGAAAAACTTACTACCATGTTTAGCTCTGCCTCCATAATGAGTGTTTGGTTTGCGTTTTAAACTACCATCTTCATGTTGCTCTTTCTTTTATTAATCTGTGTTGCTTTGTTGTGATTAATTGACTCGACACAATGGTTAGAAGAATGCCAGATTAGTACTAATGTTGTTTGTTCTTTCCATCAGGCAGTAACAGGTATTGTATGTTATGCCTGTAGAGTTGCCAGTTCTTTGCTACTTTACCAGGAGCTGATGCGAAAAGGAATACGATGGCTAATGTAAGCAATTGATTTAATTTCATTTTGCATTACTTTTTTTTTTTTTTTGAGATATGCCGTGATTATTAATACATAATTCTGTGATCTCCCAGTACCTTGGGAGGTTTTCTTTACTCCTTGCATATGAATAGTCTTTCTGATTTTTTTTTCCCTTCTTTCTGTCATTAAGGAAACAAAAAATAATTTCGTCTGACAATAATGTTTAGGTATTTGCAATTTCACTTCCTTCTGTGGATAATTTAATTCTAACCTCTGGTAACATGTAGGTACAATTGAGCAGCTTGCACAAAATAGTTTTATATGAGGATTATACTAATGCATCTCTAACTGAAAGCAGTTCTTACTAGCAGTTATTACTGTGGGTATATTATTGTATTGCCGATTGCTGGTAAGATGGCAGTTGAATACTTCTGTTACAGACTAATGCTTCACTTTTTTAGTGAAATAATCAAGGATGATTACAATGAAATGGTTCATAAAAAGACAGAGGTTGTCATCAGGCTGGATTTCTGCAGCAGAAACATTGAGAAAGCTGAGAAGATGTGAGTAGAAGCACGACACTGAATGCATTCGTTTTTCATTATCATCTTTAATGACAGCGGTATTTTATGTTTATTTACAGGGGGTTTGCATATAACAATTAAATTTGAATCGGTATGGATTTGCTGATGGCAGTGACTTAAGCAGATTTAGTAATATGCTTTGCTCAAATTAGAGTAGTGTTAATTTTGCTCCTTAACCTAGTGGGAACAAGTAATTACTATTGAGTAGTAATTGTATGGGTTCTTTTTCTCCTTTCTTCTCTGACTCAGCTCATTTGCTGTCATTGACTTTAGAAGCTATAGTAAAGCTTGAACAAAGAATCAAGTGGCTTTCCTTTCATTAGTGCATTAGTGCTTTAGTGCTTTTGTCACTGAGTTTGCTTGTGTGTGTTTATTAAGGATGACTTTAAATACTGCCCTTTTCACAGCTTTAAGACTGTAGCATTTTCTGCATGGAAGGAATTTTAACATTGAAATATAACATAGAGCAGCTGCAAAAAAACCCTCCAACAAAACAAAACAAACAAAAATCCCAACAAAAACCCCAACATCAAAAAAACCCAAAGCAACCAAAACCAAAGCTGCATGTAGGATATCGCTAGGTCACAGTTCATGCACATAGGGATGCCAAAAGTAAATTGCACAGGAAATTCCGCTTCTGTCATTTTTCAAGTGCCTGACTGTTACATTATTTTTGTCTGCTTTGGTTAATTCAAATGGCAGAGGTCTGTATCACAGCATCTCACTGTTGCCCATATGGACCCCCTCAGATCCATATAGTAGAAAGTTTTTTAGAGCACTGTCTTTAAAAATGATAAAATTTATAATAAGTAACAACTAAAGAATGGTTATCTTTTAGCATAGGAAACTTCCAAGTTTCAAAGACTGCAGAAGACACTTATTTCTCTTGTCTTACATTCCAAGGAAGTAAATGTTTTCCAGTGTTCAGGCTCTTCTGCCCTACCTCTTTCAGTCAAGTGCTGTCTGTAGGAGGTAGGATTGCACCATTGAATTCTCCCTTTCTTTTTTTCTCTTTCCTGATCTTTGTTTCATCTCTGAGTCGCACTCAATGTCCAATTCTCAGTCACATTCCTTTCCATTTTTTAAGCGTCCTTGCAGTATTTTGTTTGTCTTTTTACAAACTAGCATTAGCTTCATCTTTAAGGTGTGTTATTCTTAATGCAGTCTGATACAAATTTTAACCCTGGTTCTTCATAGGATTCTCCTATGAGTAGTTGTTTTCCTATTCAACCTACTACCAGTCTCCCTCAAATGCCGTCTTGGTCATAGGATTCTTTAAACTTGCTTCTGGTCTGCTCTGAAAATGCAGATGCCCACAATATGATTAATGCACACATGTAGAGCCACTGGGTTTGCAGAGTAGACTTAAGAATAGTCTTAAGCCATGTTGGAGCGGCTATGTGTGTGTGAATTGAACAACTTATACGTAGTAATTATGGATATGCAAGGATTTGTCAAGAGTTGCTGTGTGCATGCCAAACATACAAATTGATACACCTGCAATTTAAGGTACTTGCTTTAAAAAAAATTTAAAAAACCCAAAAAACAAAACAACAGCGAAGCTAGCAAGGTTGATAACTAGCAAGATAACAGTATACCTGAGTAGCCTAGTTACAAATCATCAGGGCTGTAATCCAAACTCTCCTTCAAGCCAATTTACGCTAGTTGACAGGACTGGTTCTTGTTCTGTCTGTATTTGGTTCAGATAGCTTCTTCTGCACTCAGCCAGGTCCCCGCAGAAGAAAGCCACTTAGAGCTCAGAAGAAACCGCTGTAGGTTCTGATTTGTGACTGTAGCACATTCAGCAGTATGTGAGAGCAGCAATTTGAACAAAAATTAAGTTCACTTGCAAACTGGAGTAGTTCTCATGTAAACAGCAATTTGCTGTGTGTTTGCATGTAGTCTTTTGGCCTCTTACAAAGGGGCAGGATTTTCAATTTATTTGACTTCAGAAGACTTTTATGGAGTTAGCAAAGGACATGTGCTCGTTTGTCCTCCCTTTTCGAGGCTATGCTTCAGAGCATAACAGTGCAAAGATTTTACTTGAAAAGGCAAACAAAATACTGAACTTGAGCAAAGTATGTATTTTTTGAAAGCAGTTGAGCTGGTTTCGATGTTTTAAAAATAAAATGTGCCTGAGACTCAACAGGAAAAATATGGTCCCAAATGATTTATTTGGCACTTCAGATATGGTGATATGGAAAGTATCATGATGAACAGATGGTGCTACTAACCCAGCCTTTAAGGTTTTGGTAATTCAACCAACCCAAGGTATTGGTAACTCAACCTTTCCAGTAAGTTTCCACAGAAGAGCATTTTGGTGCACTGGAGTATTAGTTTGTTGTGCGTCATTACGTTAAGTAACTTTAGTTTGGTAACCTTTTAAAAATTATTTGATGAGAGGAAATAGTTTTCCACTGCCTTTTGAGAACAAGTAATGAGAATAGAATAAAGATGTTGGGAATGGAAGTTTCAAACTTCTTTTTAACTGCTCAAACTAAAATGTTTCCATTATTAACGGTCACTTCAGGTTTCACTGTTTCATGGATGCTGCTTGGCAGATACTATATTTCATATTAAAGAAAAGGCAGTTATTGTTACACTCTAGATGCAAGGAATATTTGAGTGTATAGACTGCTTGTTTATTGTCTTTTTTAACTCTGCTTTTTATTGTTATCAGGTATGAGAATTTGATGCAGATCAACTTGGAAGCATCAGAAGTGGATGAAATTTCAGAGATACACATAAAACTGTTGCGTGTAAGTATCTTACAGAGCCTCTGTCATTCTCAAAATGGTGTTTCTAAAGAAGAAGCCGAATACGTGATAACACAGGTTTTTCTGTGAATAACAATAGTGAATTTTCAAAGCAATTTCTAGACTCTTGAAATGCCCATGCTGAGATCTGGATATCTTTCTGAAAATAGAGTAATTCCTTTTATTAGCCCAGTGTAGTGAAAATAATAATAAATTCCTGAAAACACATTCTCATTTTCTAAAATACTCAAGTAAAAAATTATAACCATGAAATGTATTTTACTTTCAAGTTTTTTTCCCTTTCCTTAAAGAATTTTAAACTACTTCATTGGCTTATCTAACATTTGATACATACACAAACACACTTCAGAGTGATCTGCTTTGAAATTTGCATCATGTTCCCAGACAAGTAAGAAAAAAATTGAAAATAACTTTACACACTGGTGTGCTGGGAGCAGGTATAAAGTTCTCCATTCTAAAAGCAAAAGGCGATTAGTGCATTTTTATTTTGAAGGTTGTATGAACTGTGGAAAAAGGAAGGTATGAATTATGTGGATAGTCATTATATGAATTCTTAAATCAGAAGAACAAGTGAAGAAGTAAATAGGGAATATATGAAACATAGAAGCTTATAGTTGAAAGAAAATAAATATTAACTAAAAGAAATGCTAGCATCAAAGGTGATTCTTTAATAATACCATGTTTTATCTGCTTTGGGCATATTTCTTTAATGTAGGTCAGTGAAACAATTGGGTCTATAGTATTAACGTGCTCGGTCTGTTTTCGGCCTCGATTAATTTTTCACTTTATCCAGCGGTAAGATTGAACTTTCTTGCTCTTACGTAGCTCTCCAGCTCTCAGGGCACAATAGAAACTAGTCTTCAAGATATCAAAACCAAACTTTCTCCTGGTGGTTTACTGGCTGACACCTGGGCAAATCAGGAAGGCATGCATCCAAAAGACAGAAAGTGAGTAACCCTATTGTTTTAATATGTATTGAATTCTAGATTGAGTTGTAGTTCATGAAACTCATTAATAGGTTCTTGAGTTTATATAGATAGAATATCTCATTTTCTTCCTTTTGTCACCCTAGTCCAGAAAGGCTGCAGGCGCTGCTGTGTTCCATCACAGATATTTATTATCAGTTCAAAAAAGACAAAGCAGAACGAAGTAAGTAACTTATTTGATTCACTTTTAACAGGTCAGTCCTTGTTCCACTAGGATATTTGTGGTAGGAATGGAGAGTTAGTCAACAACAGTGAATATGTCTGTAGGTTTGTCTTAGTGAGAGAGATACTGTCTTAAAGCCCATATGAATGAAACACCACTATTAATCTCATAAATTTGAATTGCAAGACTGAAGAGGAGAAAAAAAAAAGTAAATGACAACTTTTACCTATCAGGATAGGAGAAGGAAACCATATAGGAAATGGGTAAATTTAGTGGAGTTTTACATAACTACAACTAACAGAATTAAACTGGTAATGTCTGTCATCTGCTCTGATCCTAGGGCTTCCTTATAATGAAGAACAAATTCACAAGTTTGACAAGTAAGTTTTGAAGTTACCTTTGGGAAATACCATGATTGCTTTCAGGTCCTTCAGGTGCTTTTGCCAATAACCTCTTCTGTTGATTTTTATTGTAAATTATAACGTCTTTAGGATTGCTTTTTAAAAAAATTCCTTTAAGTATCTTAAGTACATAGGGGTGCCAGCATACGATAAGGAGGTGCTTTCTGGCAGTGGAGTTCCTTCACTGATAGACCTTCTAAATGTAGATATGAAATACCTGTTTGTTATCTGGGCATAACTGTCTTACAAGACGAACACTTTTTTCCTGCGTTTTTTTAGGGAGAAAAAAGCTCTCAGTAAGAGTAAAGTGACTTTCTAAATAAGGTGGAGATAATTTTCTACAGGTGAATAAAATATGGGCAAGCTGAACAAAAGTCTAGAATGATTTAATCTGCCAGGAAATATAGCACACAAAATAAATTTTCACGCAGCGTATAAAATTGCCACTTATGAGAGGTGGCCACATTAAGTATCTGTGTGTAACCTGGGTGTCTAGACTCCCATTAGGCTCCACTGACTCTACTAACTAACTCTTGAGCACCTGTAAACAGCTGCTCTGCTCATGCTGCTGTACTTGTCTCAGGATCGATTCAGTGCCTCGTATGCAGATGCCTAATACTATTTAAGTTGCCCTAAGGTGTCCGAGATGTGCGCTGAGACTGGGAGGTAGGACACGAGACAAATGGGAAACCTACACCTTTCTGGATGGACAGTCGGAAGCAGGGCCGGATATCCTTGTGCTTCTCAGATGATGCCAGATACTTATGTTTAAGTAATGAAGTTATTCTCCTAGTGGCTGGTCAGTTGAGTGGTTCCCTAGACTTTGCTGAGTGCTGTATGAATTTAGACCCCACTTGTGTAATGTTCTAAAAATTCTTGCTGTTGCTACCGCTAGTGTGGCTTCACTGACAATTACAGATAGAAAGCTAACATGCAGAAGGCACTGGTGTTCTCACAGCCATGCCACTTGATTTTCCCACAGAGAAAGCTAAATAGAGTGACTGCCAAGTGGAGGAGAGGTTGCCTTAAGATAAAGGACAGTAGGGGCAGGAAACCTGTAAGGCAGATATTGATACGCTGAAAGAGACCCGGACACATCATTGCTCTGCAGCAGCAAGGGACTGAACGTGAGTGATAATTTCCAGTCATGTGTTCTTAATGACATGGTTGGAAAACAGGCAAACATTGGGACACAATCCGTAGCTCATTTGAAAACTGCACTCCCTTGGGCAGATTAAAGAAATTTTAGGACTTTTTCTACTATTCAAACTGTGTCCTCGCATTAATATGTGAATAACTTTAAATAAACAGGCTCCATTTTCATGGTTTTGAATACTGGTAATTTTTCTACCACAAGTGTCTCCTTGGGATTGATCCAGCATCTTTGAGATCCTAACTACATCTTACTTTACTTGACTCACTCCAGAGAGAAATGGCAGTGTATTTTGTGAAGAACTGTGTGCCATTAGCAGCAGAGGCTGGCCTTTATAATATTTATCAGTAGATAGACAAGGGAGCTGCACTCAGTTTAGATTTTTTTCTGGTTGAATGACAGGTATGCGTGCCTGATGACAATCCAGCTGCACTCTAGCCAGAATGTGATTAACTAATAGGCATCATGCAGACTTAATGAAATACCGGAAGCAGGTGTTAGACTGTAGTAAATCTCTTAGTTTTGCTTACTGGTGCAATGCATAGCACGGTAAGGCAGTTACACTGGGATTACTGTCTGCAATGCTAAATCAGAATTGGATTTTGTTTTGTTTTCCTGTCCTTATTTCTGCTTGCTTTTTTCTCTTGCCATAAATTTAAGCTAACACAAAAATACCGTTTTTCTTGCATGTATATTACTCAGCACAGAGGGTTGTTCATGTATGCTGGCAGTTCCAAGTGTTTGCAGAAGGCAAATAAGAAATAATAAGGATTTCTGTCCTTTCCGTTTAGAATCCCTTTTCCTTAAATATACCTGCTCGAATAAATACTGACTTGGAGAAGACATTTGACCATTTGTTCATATACAAATAATTGCAAATAAATGCTTCAAATATTTTTTTTTTCCTCCCTGCCAGGGAATATTTTTGAAACATAAACCGTCAGTTCATGCAGTGTGTTGAATTCTCATACATTGCTGTCATGGTTTTGCCCCAGCCAGCGGCTAAGCACCACGCAGCCGCTTGCTCACTCCTCCCCCCTTCAGTGGGATGAGGAGGAGAATGAAAAAAAACCCCAAAACTCGTGGGTTAAGATAAAGACAGTTTAGTAGGATAACAAAGGAAGAAAATAACAACAACAACAATAATAATAATAACGATGTAATAAAACAAGTGATGCACAAATGCAATTGCTCACCACATGTGGAAGGGAAAAAAACCCCCCACCCAATGCCCAGTCTGTTTCCGAGCAGGGATCCTGTTTCCCGGCTAGCTTCCCCAGTTATATCTGGAGCATGATGTTCTATGGCAGGGAATATCCCTTTGGCCAGTCTGGGTCAGCTGTCCTGGCTGTGCTCTCCCAGCTTCTTGTGCACCTGGCAGGGTGTGGGAAGCTGAAAAGTCCTTGACTTGGTGTAGACTCTACAACTACCTAGCAACAACGAAACATCAGTGTGTTATCAAGATTATTCTCATACTAAATCCAATCCACAGCACTATACCAGCTGCTAGAAGGAAAATTATCTCAGCTGAAACCAGGACAATTACAACAGCATGAATAAAGTTGGCTGAAGGGATTTTAAGTCCACATACCTTTTCTCCAAGGTACAGAAAGTAAATTAGAGGAACAGGGTTGTGAAACCAGTGTAACACTGTTCGGTTGTTTCTGTGTTGCAGGCAGAAGCTGTATTTGCATGCTACAAAAGCCATAGCTCTATTCAAAGATGAATGTGTCAGCAAGTATGATACATTTTTGGACAAGGCTGAGGACTGGACAAGGCAAGCTATTGACTTCTTTAATATTTGGTAATATTCACTGCGCCACTTTTATAAAATGAAGCTCTCAAAAGAAAACTTTTTCTTTTAGGAAAATGCTTCACATAAGGAAGCAGTTACTGGCTCTCACCAACCAGTGTTTTGATATTGAAGAAGAGGTGTCCAAATACCAGGATTATATAAATGAGGTAGAATGCTTCAAAATTATGTAAAGTGTTGGAATACATAAAAGATGTTGTTTAATATCAATAGTTTTGTTTATAGTGAGTCTTATGTTAATGGAGTCATATTAAAATATAGGGCTGCACAGATGTAGTATTTGGTCTATAGCTGCTTTATTGCAAATGTCACAGTGGCGTAGAGTGTGGCATGATTTTTGGAATAATGACTTAAGTTTGGGGGTTGGGTGGGGTATTTTTTTTGGTTTGGAGGTTTTTTTTGGTAGGGTTTGGTTTTTTGGGGGGTTGGGGGTTTTTTTAGTGGTAGCATTCCCCCTAAAAATTCTGTGGCAATGGATGTGAGTCCCTTGAGAAGTGTTCTGTTTAACTGTTATAATGATATCTGAGCACCTACAGGATTATCTTAATACTCTTATGAAGCATAAAAAACACTACTCCCGTATTCGAGATTAGGGGATATGTGCTTAAAGATACGTGCTAAACTAATGCTGCTGGTGACATGAAAGAAAGTGTTTTGTTAAAATTTGGACAGTGACTCTGCAGGATGCAAACTTACCAGAATTACCTCAAAATTGAGAGAATGAGAGCATTTTCATTCAGGAAAATGATTATTCTTTATAAAGGAAATATAAATGAAAGAAAAGCACCTGAGGAATGGTGGAGAACAGCATTTTACTTGTTATTTGTTTGTATTTTAGTAGCACTACCAAAGTCAGTTATTGATTAGGATCCTGTTGCCTTAGGATATCTATAAACATGACAAATAGATAATTCTTTCTGAAAGTTTATTAGGAAAATATAAGATAGTTAAGAAGATGGAACAAATCAGGGAACTATAGGTTGTGTCAATACAAAACTTGCCATGATGATCTCAACTTGGGGAATATCAGCTGCCTTACTACTGTAATGATTTTATGAGGCATCATAAATGGAGAATTAAAGGAAGGATTTTAAGGTGGACATCAGGATACGTATGACAACTTCTATTGCAACTTACATTTCCTTTTTATCTATTGCAGTTACAAGATGCTTTGCCGCAGAAAATGTTTGCAGCTTCCAGTGGGATGAAACATACAATGAATACAGTCTATCCAAGCTCAAACACACTAGTGGAAATGACTCTTGGGTGAGATTTTTTTAAATTGGATTGATATAATGTTCTATACCTGTTATACAGGGGAATTGAAAAGAAAAAAAAAAAAGATTGACTTTGTGAGTGCTGTGTTAAGACCAAGAATTTTATATTGCAGAAAAAACTTTATATTGCTAAAGTGGTGGTACAGATTTTGAAGCAAGTATGGGACAATACTAATATATCATCTGTCACTTTTAGTAAATAATCAACCTGTTACCTGTCCCTTATTTTGTATGTAATGACAAGTTGCTGAAAGCTCCGTGGTAGTGAGTGATCATAGCAGATAACTGTACCTATAAAAATTGTAATCTTTCTTTTGCTTCTTGTTATTACAGTATGAAGAAACTAAAGGAAGAAATGGAAGGGGTTGTTAAAGAGCTGGCTGAGAACAATCACATTTTGGAAAGGCAAGCAATTGTTTTCCCTTTTTGGGCTGATACTAGGAACAGGCTTAACTTGGTACATTTGGTAGATCCAGAACTTAAACTAAGGGATGATTCTATAATCTCTTTAACTGTAAATACATTTTGAACTGCTGATCTGAGGTGTAACCAAAAAAGAAAGTAATCAAAACCTTGAAACATTAAGATCATTCTGACACAGCAGTCGTGGCATTTTTGTTTCATGTTACTTATGTTTAGCTAATAAAAATGTCTGTTTTACAGACAGATTAATTCTGAATTTAAACACAATACTTTTGTAGCAATCCAGTGGGGTCTTTTAACTCCTCACTTTTAGACATTTTTAACAACTGTGAAATTATACCAACCTGGATGATTTTGCAGTTTTCAGATTGCTTAAATAAAGTGAAGAGGCCAGTGTATTTCTGATAATCCTGAGAGCGTATTGTCATTACAACATACAGACTGACTTTGCTTTTTTTCCTATTATGATGATAAAATATATAAAAATAATGATGTCCTGAAAGCTTCATGGTAAATTGGGGGTATTGCTGAGCTTAGCTTCAAGCTGCATTGGTTTTGTTTTTTTCCCCACCCCAAGTCCCATACCTGGAGCATGGTATCCTTTCTTCTATGTTCTTTTCACACACAGAAGTTAGATACGAATGTGTGTGTCTGCACGTGGCAAAAGAAAGGAAAACCCCATAAATAAATCATAGTGAATTAAGGATTGATTCTATAACCTATTCAATCACCTAAGAATATGCTATTTTTTCATGTTAGATTTGGTGCTTTGACTATGGATGGTGGCCTGCGGAACTTGGACTGTATCTAGCTTTCAAAGGACCTGAAGAGGACTTGTAAATTTTTTCAAAGGAAAAAAAATACTCTTGGGACATTCAAAGGCAGATAATAAGTCTGTATCCATTTTTTTTCCCCTCTACAATTGTAGTATTAAAAAGAATGTAAATATGTATAATATGTAAATATAAAAGAAATATATATCTTTTTTTCGTCAATGTTAGGATAGAATTACTGAATTACTCTTGGCAGGGAATTTAGCCCCTTGGAGGATCTCTGACGAAGTCCTAAAGGCAAAAGTGTTATTGATGAAATTGACGATTGTTTGCTTTGAATATTGCCCTTTTTTCGAAATGCAATTTAGCCTTTATTGCAAGAGGACTTGCAGAAATCTAAATATTATGAATAGTCTTTAAAGGGTGTTTTGGATTTCCTTTAACCACCACTGTTATTTTGGAGTCTAGCTGAATGACTGACTGATCATCACAGAACATGACGACTGTTTTAAATGAGATCTTTTTCAATATGTGTGAATAGGGACTAAAAGTGCAGATATGACAGAGTGGAAATTTATTTCTCTTTCCTTCACAGCCAAACTTTTAGTTCACGTCTACCTGAGAAAACCAATTTACACTATTTTCTTAAGTTCTTCGCCATATTTGGTGCCATGTTGTCTGTAATCATTTGACTGCTCTGTATATGGAAGTTTTGCACTCCAGGTTGTCAGACTGAATGTAAAAATTCATTTTCTAGAGTACAGCATTTTCAGAATTTCTCTGAAATCTTGTTGCTTACCACAAGAGAAGCAGGTTCTTAAAATACTTTTTTCAGAATCCTGTTTGCAGGCATAACTTTTAAAAAAGTTTAAAAACTGGTATTAGGAGAATTTGTGGGCAGTCAGTAGACTAGACAGCGTTGTGCTGCAGTGGTAACTGAATATTGGAAAAGTTACTGGTCTAGATCTTAAAAAAGGGAGCACACCCACTGCTGACTTATGACTGAGATATTAAACTTAAGTGTTTATTTTCCAGTATCAGTAGTTACTACTTTCGGTACTACGTGATTGGGTTGCAGAGATGCAGAATGAATAGTCTTTATAGGGTGTTTTGGATTTCCTTTAACTACCATTATTTTGGAGGCTAGCTGAATGACTGATCCTCACAGAACATGATGACTGTTTTAAATGAAACAGTCTGCTCCAAAATACGTTGGAAAGAAGAAAGAGAAGAGGAAAACAAACAAAAACTTGGAAAACATCCCTTACTTTGTGTGGATACTACAGGTGTACTTACTTGTTTCAGATGAAGAGCATGCAAATATGGCAGGACTCATTCTCTCCTTGTGGAAACCTGGCCATGGATGTTCAGTGGCGTCCAACAGCACTTCTAATATATTACCTCTGTGAGAAGAGCTGGACCCACTATATTTAGAAGTTTCCATATTTAATGGTAAAACATTTTGGTATAAATTAAACAACAGTAACCTGTGACAGCATCTAATAGTTTTGTCATGCTTATTCCCTGTTTATCTCTCCAGGTCAGAAGGCAAAACATTTCCGTTGCATTGTGTTGGGGGTTTTTAATATTTGAATAGAAACTTAACGAAATTTAGAATTGATTCTTTCATTGTTAAAAGAAGAGGAAATTCACTGCCTTGATGTCTGAGACCTGCTTTCCAGTGTTCTTGGTGAGAATCAAATATTAAAAGGGAATTCAGATGTTTTTACACTCACATGAGCAGCTTCTTTCTTTGCAAGCTTTGTCCCCCAAAAAATCTAGCTATGCAAAAGGAGTGCAACAGTTTGTTACGTGTTTTTCCTTGGTTAGCTGTGGCATTCTTAACTGTTTGTTTTTTAAAGTACTGGAATCATGTCTAACTGGAATGTTTTAATGCCTGCTTGTACATTTGTTCATTCACATCCACGGTCTCACCAAGTGTCAGTAAAACACATGCATAAGTGTTAAAAGAATTGGGCTCTCAAACTGTGCATAAATTATACTTTTTTTCCAATATTATGTCTGTAACACTGTTGTTTCAAAGGTTCTTAATTTTGAAAGAAATCAAGTGTTAGTTGGAATATATAATTTTCAACTTCTTTATACTGAAGCAGTCTGAAAGTTAATTGTAGTAACAGTATAGTCTGTATATTGAAGTATGTGTGGCATTCTTTTACATGGTTGAAAATGTTTTATGTTATATTTTATGTTCATTTTAAACATTGCTGGTTTCAGTGTTGCTAAATACATCGGTTATCTTAATTTTGTTAAAATTTCTTTTTCTAAAGCGATTTTAACTAAGTAGTAGCTAAGGAACTTGCAGTAATCAGTTCATAATCTACTGATTATATATATTTTTCACATATATTTTTCACATCAAACAGTAGCATATAGTACCATCAATTTCTGTCTCAAACTAAGTGTCCTGATACTATCAGTCATGCTACTGATTTGCCAAAAGAAGTAATAGAAAGTAATATATGATTCTTCCTCCTGAAGCTGGTTTACTGTTTTGGGGGGGTTAGCTTAGTATATTAATTATCTGTTACTTGAACAAACCAGTCTTCGTATGAATTGTGAAAATGCATGAGTGAATGACTTAATGACATAAATACATCATCAGCCACTTACTGTACGGTGTGTACTTCTTGTGTCTTTCCATAATTTCACTTTCTGTTAATTTCAGTATTACCTTATAATTTTTATTGCCTCGTACAGACAATAGAAAGCCTGAAATCTGAAGTAGCAAGTTAGTCAGCTGTCCAGAAAACCTGTCCCGTACAATGGAATCACTCGCATAGGTGATATGGTAGAGCCACTCATCCTTTTTATTTATGTTTTTAACCACTCTGCTGACGTGTTCTGGACAATATTAGTTCTCTGTAACAGTGGCAAAATTCCTAGTCCCTGCTTGGTGTGAAACAGTCCACCGCCAGAGCTCAATCAGTGCTAATTTAGGTAATTACTGTAGAAGTAATCATAGAATAATCTTGGATCTAATACTATAGCAAGGATTAAAAAAGCTGAATGGAAAAGATTACTTTTTGGTTTTTGGAAGTCTAGAAAGGGGAGATGTGGAATAAACTGTCATTGCATAAACTTGTTTGGGTAAAATTCAACACAGACGACTACTAGGTAGTTGCACAGCTTGCTGTTCCTGTGAAATCCCTTGCAGGAGGGGCACGGTAATTGCTTTGGCTAGCCACGTTGAAGGCAGGTTTTAGGAACAGGTTAACTGTTGGGAGCTCTTGTGGCCACTTCTGCCCTTGGCAACGCTACATGACCTTTTAATTTTCTGTGCTCTAAACAGCTTTTTTTTGTTGTTTGCTCCATTGATCACAAAAAAATGTGGTAGGGGTAGTACCCCTTAGTGGAGTTTGCTGTTTTGACACTGGTACAAGCCCGGCCAGCCGTAGTTGTAGATGCACATCTTCTGGAGAGCTTTGCTTCCTGTTGACAAGGAAGACTGAGAGCAACAGCTAGAGCTGCTGGCATGCTACAAATACAGGTGTACTGCAGTTGTTCACAGTTTTATTCTGCTCCTGAAGACTTACACAAGCAGCCGATGCAGTCTGTGACTACCCAGGCTTCCGCAGTCTTCCCAGTGAGGTAGGGGTTGCGTCACCGCTGCCAAGCCATGGGAAGCTTGCCTGGAGTAGCTGCTTTAAGTCATCATTTTAATCAGAACCTAGCGAAGTGCATCACCAGCTCTTGCCAGCTGCCCCCGTGCCAGCGTGAGGGTTGCTTCAGCATCCTGCAGTACATTTATGCCGTACGATGTGGCATTTGTTAGCGATTGCGGAGTGGGTCGTGAGCAAGCGCACCTGGCCGGGTAGCTCTGCACCGTGCTGGGGAGAGCTGAGCTTGGCACCTCGCTATGCGAGCTGATGGCTTCGCTTGGCAGGCACATTTGCTAAGTCACGGTGAAAGAAGATGACGCTGGCACAATGGTGCTGCTCCCGTGGTGACTGCTGTGGGAGCCCTACAGCAGTTTCAGATTTAAGCAGATGGGAGCAGTTTACAATCTTCAAAGAAAGATTTAATTTTATTTTTTTTTCCACTTTCATTCCTTGGAACCTTCTCTGTGAAGGTGCAGATGAATTGTTCATAAATCCTGTATCACCACATCCTGAAAAGGCCGGGCTACATGCTACTTTAGACCACTTAAAATCCGTGCAAGGCTGCATTGAAATAGACGATGATTCTAACGCCTTGGAGACGTGAATGTCAAACGTACTTGCCGTGTTTTCCGAAGCTGTAGGTTTGATAGATGAAGGCTTTACCTTGCTTACAATGACTTGCTGCCA